GAGCATTACAAAAGTGACAACGAGTATTCGTTAACATTACAAAAATAATTTCGTTAAGGCGTGAAATTCAAGCACTTGTTCTAATTTTGTCCCGATTAAAAGATAAATAGATTAAAAATACGCAAGTACTGGGATTCCAGCATTGATTGGACAAGAGAAAAAAATCCAGTGGAACTTATTTAAATATGAAACCAGCATCCAAATCTTTTAAACAAGTGTAAAATTAATATAAACGCTGACTCAGTCAAGGAATAAAGTCAGAGAAAACATTATAAAAAATGTTGCGTTGAAAATAGAATGAGAGATTTTTTAACTGATGTAAAAAAGACGGCTTTCAATTACATTACTAGGTGAGCTCTCCACACTGCGATGACATGTCGTCACCGCAATTTCTTCAAACATAGCTATGAAAACTAATCTACCTCATTGTGCTCGATGCCCGTTGACCCCATAATAAAGTCCATCCGCCCTTTAACAGATGTTGCTTTTAATCCAGCTGGGTGTATAACCACCGTCCACACCAGAAAAGCCTGATGGGGGTACCGGTTTAGTTGACCCGACTGTACGGCATGTAATACTGGGTTACATATAATCAGTAACAGTCGTCGTGTAACCTCATATAAGCAAACGATTCTTGAATATATTCTTTTAAATATATTTATTTTGGTTTAAATTACATTAGCGCGAGATTGCGCCAATGGGGAATCTTATTGATAAACGAACTCGCTAATATTTGTCAATGACAGTGCTCAAATATTAACTCTAATTTGAAGAACACAAAGTTGCAATATGAACAAATAATACATTAATGCAAATTTCAGGCTCTCTAGATTCGTTTAACCTGGTGGAGACCAGGTTATCCCAATGAAGCTGGAGTCCCTATCATGACATTTAATCAGGAAGTGCAAACTCAACAATATAAGATACTCAAATGACGGAAGACACAGAAAGAAAACTACAGGACCTCCTAGACTATGTAGCAAAGGAAAACGTGAAGAAAGGAACGACCATCAACTATATGAATACAGAATCTATAGTTCTCAGCAAGAGAAAAGGTGCTAGATGAGAACTACAAGTTGGATAGGTTTGGTTTGGTTTGGTTTGTCACGCTCATGGTAGCGAACCACCGTATTCTATTGGTGAAGTGTAATTTCCACTCGAAAAGCTTCTCCCCACGAATCAATGCCTTATGGAACCGACTCCCAAGAGGTTGCTTCACTACAATCTTAACCAGCTCAAGTCTAACGATAACTTATTCCCCATACATATCCGCATAAGCTGTGCCTCTTACTCTGTAAACCTCTATCTCGAGTGGCCATCGACCCTTTTACAAGGTGAATATCACTATCAAAAGTTACTCAAAAGATATCAAAGAGCTGCTTGATAGGTGGTAATATGTCATCTGTGTGTGTGTGTGTGTGTGTGTGTGTAACGAATGCTCGGCCGCAATTTTCGACGGATTTGCACCAAAATTTACATGCATATGCTCCAAGTTAGCGGAAAGGCTAAGACCGACTTTGCACTTCCCAACTCCCATCGATAGTGGAAATAATGGATTTTTTCATGCTTCTACAGCAGTTTTCATGTAGTTTGCGGCCATTTTCTACTGGCCAGAGTGAGAGCCTATAGCTGGCTGCCACGAATAGGCAGGAAGATTCTATTGGCCAGCATGAGAGCCAACAGCTGACTGACACGAATGTTAATTAGCATGCTAGCATGCAAAAAAAATTGATAGCTGCATTCGTCATAAATGGGAGAAAATTTAAATCTGCATGGCACTTTACTCCAATTGGCTCATTCGCTTGCTTAAACTCAACGGTGATTCTGATTCCGCAGAACTGGGTTGGGTGTGAAAAAGTATTTGTTGTTAACATTCTTTTTTCATTTGGTTTTTCCAGTTACGAGTCCTTTTTTAAAGCTGATCGTTTTGTGTTCATTTTGTTTAGTTCTTTTTTCGTAACAGATTTAATGTCTAGTATAGAGCTTGTGTGAGATAGGCAAGAAGTAAGGCATGTAGCAACATCAGAACGGCAAAGGGCACTCCTTTAAAGGCAAGAAAGGGCAAAAAATATTTTAAGACTAGTGATAGCGATTGCTGTATGAGTCGTACGATTTTTGAATCAAGTACAGGCAACGCCGGGCCATGCTGCTGGTTACAAATAATGGTGAATATATAATTGAACAAAATACAATGGTAACGGGTGGTCCGAAAGTTTTGTCACCCACTACTAAAAAGTAATGGGAATAATAGAACAAGTAATACAGTAATACAAAGCAGATGTACTGGATACAGTTTATTCACTTTCATTCGGTCTGTCACACATCAAGAAGGTCTGTATGAACACAATCATCTTTGTGTAGGAGCTCGTGTCAGCCATGTGAAATAGGAAATTATATTGTATATGGGTAACAAGACTTTTGGACCACCCTGTATTTTAATTTTTGAAATATAAAATTGATAATCAAAACCGCAAATTGTTTATAATTCAAGCTAATAAATCCACATGGTGGCCCGAGGGTCTTTTCACCCCTACATAATATAATTTTCTATTTTAATACTCTGGTGGATAATATCAAAGAGAGAGTTTCACATGAACGATACTAGAATATCCATAAGCTGTTCTTTTCATCAATCAAGAATACAGTTGCTTGCAAAAGTCTACATACACTTTGAAAATTTATATATTTTGTATAACTAAACAGGAAACAACACATTTTTTTCAATTCCAATGATTGTTAAATAATAAGCAGATCCATCACACTATCCTTTGATATAAAAATTACATTTTAAAAATTTCAGACTGATTCTTAAAACCATCAGGTGGCATAGACAGTGTCAAGCATCAAGAAATATTGGAGGCAAACTTGTTGAAGTCTGTTAGAGCTCTGCGCCTGGGTCGCAATTTTCAAGTTTCAACAAGGTAACGACCACAAGCATATGTCAAAAAGCTTGGTTTGCTAGCAAGAAAATCACAGTTTTGGAGTGGCCCAGCCAGTCTCCAGACCTCAATCCTATAGAAAATCTATGGCGAGATCTAAAGCTGGCTATGCACCGACGTTCCCCATCCAATTTGACACAGCTCGAGAAGTTCTGCCATGAAGAATCGCAAAAAATATCAGCAGACCACTGCAGCAAGCTCATGGAAGGCTACCCGAGGCGTCTGCAGGCTGTAACTGACGCAACAGGATCATCCACAAAGCATTAGCTAAAGACATTCCAAAGGGGGTGTAGATTTTTGCAAAGACATTTTTCAAAATTATCTTTGTTTAAGAAGCAGCTTTAAATTTTTCAAATGTATTTTGCGTATTAAATAAAAGTCTGATAGATCTGCTTATTAAAATAAATTATTGGAGTTTGAAATATTAATTGATCCTATCAAAATAAACAAAATACATCCAGTCTTCAAGGGCGTGGTGTAAACTTTTGCAATGCACTGTAGTACAGCTTCGTAAAATATCACACAAGACATGGCGCCACATCATTTCATGCCACGAAAAAGATGTCGTTCATACAGACCTTCTCGATGTGTGACAGCGTCAATAAAATTGAAAAGACAAAACCCATTATATCTGCTTTGTATTACTGTATTACTTGTTCTTCTATATTGTTCTCCTTACTTTTTGGTAATGGGGGTGACAAAACTTTCGGACCACGCTGTAGGGTGTCTTCTGTTATTGCCTCATCTCTGTTCCACGTCCTCTACTTTCTCTTTCTCAAATGTTCTTACAAGTATTTCCGTCTCTATTGATCGTTGTGCGTTTGTAAGTTTGTTTACAAGAGATTATATTCATTTCCAATGTTTTCGCCCGTCCGTCATAGCTGATATTATACATTATTTATATAAATGACGATTTAAGGCTATTATGTTTCGTTTTTTATTGTGTTATTGTTTGTAGTCGATCATTACATGGTGTTTTATTACAAGCCCATGGTATTTCTTCAATATTACCAAATGTCCGAAATAGATGTATTGCCGAACTAATTTTTCGTCGTCTACTCTTGTAGGCTTTTAAACATATTTACTTTGATTTAAATTACACTGGCACAAGGTTGCCACAATGAGGAATCTTATTGATAAAAAAACTCACTAATATTTGTCAATGACAGAGCTCAAATATTAACTCGGATTTGATGAAAACAAAGTTGCAATATACATACAATCACCGAAGTTAAGCAAGCAGGAATCGGAGAGACGGGTTCGAATTCCAGTCAAATCCATCACATTCACTTACGTGCTAATACCCTTGGGAAAGGTATGAATCCTCTTCTTCTCCCACAGCTATTGGTACAATAGTAGGACAGACCGGGTTCTATAGCCTTGGATGGCAACTGATCTACCGCAGGAAGAAATTGCAACCTTCTATGGGAAAACTGCCTCGTCAGTCATGTATTGTAAAATACATGATCGCTTAAGCGTGTATCACGCATGGCACATAACTGGCTGAATTTAGTTAGACTCATGTCGGGTCATTTGGTCTAAAGAATATGTCATTTAATTAAACTAACGGTAGAATAATGGATAGCGGTTCGGATTGAGAAATCGGAGAGCCGAGTTCGAATTCCAGTCGAATCCATTACATTCACTTATGTGCTAATACCCTTGGAAAAGATATGAATCCTCTTCTTCTACCCACCCCCACCAGCAGGACAGACCGGGTTCTGTAGCCTTGGATGGCAACTGGTCTACCGCAGAAAGAAATGGCAACCTACTACGGGAAAAAAATCTGCCTCGTCAGTCATGTATCGAAAGATACATGATCGCCTAAGCGTGCATCACGCAAGGCCAATAACTGATTGATCTGAAGCAACGCCGAGTCTGGTCACTATCTATATGGGTGACCACTTCGCAATATCAGATTTTCAAACGAACTAGATTCCTTAGTTTCACTTGTTCTAACCTTCACATTGTAGCGAACCACCTTCATTCTCTTCATATTCCATTGGTGAGATGTAAGTTCCACTCGAGCAGCTTCGTCCTACGAGGCTTACGGACACATGTCATTGAAGCACCATTTCTCGTACAATCACCGAAGTTAAGCAACATCGAGCCTGGTCAGTATCTAGATGGGTAACCGCTTCGGAATAACAGGTGCTGTAAGCTTGGATATACGGATGGTGCAATGGATAATGGTTCAGACTTATTAATCAGAGAACAGAGTTCCAATTCCCGTTGGGTCCGTTATATGCACTTACAGGCAAATATCCTTTCGAAAAGTATAAATGCACATATTCTTCCCCCACCTATGTGTTAATTAGTAAGATTTATATCACTAAGATATTATTGTCTCCCCCAAATTCTTACAATCTAAAAAATATTTTCTGGCTTTAAATAACCTGCAATGTGTTGATAAGCCGTAAAATCGAATCACTGAATGAATGAATCCTTCCCACTAACAGCTGCTTTGCAGGACTGACTCCCAAGTAGATACTTCCCCGATCACAAGAATCTTAACATTTTAAAGTCTAGGGTCAACTTTTATCTTCCCCGCCTATAAACTGTGCGTCTTTTTCTGTAGGAATCTAACTCAAGTCGTTTATGGGCCTTGTACAGGGTGAATATCACTTTTTAAAAAAATAAGGAGACAGCATCTCTCGAATCGAATTCGTGGTTTTAGCGAATTGGTCTGCAGAATGAGATTACTAAATAGCACGCTATGGTAGACGCCTTGATGTATAAATTAGAGTTTATTTTTAGACAAATCGGACTTGTATTGATCAATACTTTATCGCTCTTGCGTCCATAAATTATATTAGACTGTAACAGGCAGCCATTTTCTTATATTTTCTCGCCATTCCAATTTAGAATGTTAATCGGATATTTAAAAAATAAAAAAATGGCAGAGCATCCTAACAAAATAATACCAATCTCGCCTTATTCATTCCATGCGATATACATTAATGGGAAAATCATACATACGTACAGATACGATTTATATTTACAATAATATTATCTTTATAAAACTAATGCCAACTGCTGGATGTTAAGTTAGCAACTCCGTCCCGTAAAACCTATTTACCACGTAAGCCAAACCAGCACCATTTAGCCAGGTGAAGTCGTGGTCCCATGCTCCACATGTAGACTACAGTTTTACCAAAGTTCCCTGATTACAGTTTTAGAATATTTTAAATCACCCCAATCAAGGTGATAATGCCACTAAGACGCAAGTGATTACTGGGACTGAAAGAAAATGAGAAGACTTTAGAACGAAACCAGAAACCCAATCCTAAATAATAAACAGGGGATAAACCGTTACTCCCGTTAGAAAAAAAGGGAAGGAGTGTGAACCGAGTGATAGGCGAATCTATCTAATCCTATTAAGCTATCTAATCCTATTAATTAATTGCTTCTACTGACAAAGCACACATTTCTGAGATTATGGCTGTTTTTTCCAAGCATTCCCGCACCAAGCAAGGCGACAAATCACTAAGTTGCAAGAGAGTTACTGACAGTGAAAGAATACGAGAGAAATCATTATTAAAATGAGCGAACAATAAAAGAACAATATTCAAAGAAAATTGATGGCGTTTGACATTGCACTTACATTTTTGAAGATCAAATTTGACTGAAAAGCTAGAAGTCTGTTATATCGTGGATAATACGATATAAGCAACTAGGGTAATTCCGAATGGAAAGATTACGCTAAACACAGGAATTACGTAAAACAAATAACATAGGTTTTATTGTATGGAAAGTACAATGAGCAAGAGTTCTTAATAATAATAAGAGTTCTTAATAATAATAATAATAATAATAATAAGGAAAACGGGAGAAAACGTCACGGAGAACCGTAGTGGTACTGCTACGACAATACTGCGTCACATCTTTTATTTTCTCCTCATTCACGTCTCTTTAGACTGACCAATCACTGTCGGGGTGTGATAGGTTGTTCCACTATGACAAAGTCGAAAGAAGATTCCACAAGCGAGAAGTGCGATAAAAGAGACTGTTAACGTAGGACTTACGGTTGCATCTAGCAAATTCAACTGTAAAATGATGAGACCTCGCAGTCAATCAGCGCTTAAATTCGTAAAGTGCACAGAATAATCATCGAAAGATTTATGATGAAAATATTTACAGAAACGTCACAAGGGAACTATGTTACAGGGAATGGAAAGTAACTGAAGCCGAGATGGCAGGTCAGAATAAGGTATTGTGACACCCCGGGCCAGAAACAAAAATTGCCCGCAGCCCCCGAAACCATCGGTTGCGCTGGCCTCGGTACGAGCACTTATCCCTCTCGCTGGTGGAATTAGAGCGTGCGACCTTGGGTAGCTGTTCCCTGGGGCTGGGCAGCTTTCAGTATAATTTTCCTCAGTTGCGAGTCTGTCCTTTGACGGAGTCGCCCTTGAGTTCACTCTGCCCAAAGACAGAGACGGAACTGAGAGATGATAAATAAATGTGTTACAAATCAATCCAAAGAGCGGTTTACACTGTTTGCCAGGTTAGGAATAATAACATTGTACATTTTTCTTTTGATTTTGTCAAGAAGTAATATCGTTTTCAGTTTCCTTCCACAATATTTTGAATTTTCATTTAAACCTATTTGTTTTCGCCACCCAGAATTCAACAAATACATCAACACTTTCGTTTGCATAAATACTAGAAACCTATCGCTGTTAAAATTAAATGTAATGTGCACAACTTAAGGTGGCAACTTAAGGTGGCAATCTCCCAGTTGTCTCTCTACGAAGAAGCGAAACTAAGGTTAATCCTTGACAACTGAGACCTTCCCGAAATACCAAATGCCAATACAATATTGTTCAAATTTTGTCCCTGGTCGATACACGTGTGAAACTTCCAGTTTAAACGCCCATTATACCCCCATTTGTGTATATATACCTACATACATACAGCGACTAAGGTTTCTTAGTATATAGGAGAAAAGGTTTGACGTATTGATTGATTTTTATCAACCTTTTACTTGCTATTAAGGAGAACATATTTTTAATTGTAATATTTTTGAGAGATAATAATGTCTTACTGATACAAGTTGAAGAAGACTATGTAGCGGTTTCGATACAATTTATGCGACCATCGCACAGTCATAGGCTTGAAATTTTGTTTCTTTCACAGGAAAGGCATTACAAGGACTACAGTTTAACCATCAAGGTCCTGTTTTAAATTTTTGATTCTGATTGATTCGTTTTCTAAGGTTAATCAACTCTTTAGAAATTATTTAAGATTATAATTGTTGGGGGGGATAATAATGATTTAGTGAGACAAGTCTTAATAATTAACCCATACCTGGGGGAGAAAAAGTGGATTCATACATATTCTCGTGTAAGTGAATATAAAGAGTCTGACTTGAATTTGAACTTGGCTCTCCAATTGCAAATCCAAGCTCACAGCCCAAACGGTCTCTCATTATGTACTCAAGCTCGGGTTGTACTCATTAATTTCGTATTCCATTTGTAAGGAGGAAGTTCTATTCGGACATTTACTCTCCAAGAACAACTGATTTCTGGAACAGACTCCGGATAGGATGTTTCTCCGATTACTACGATCTTAACCCTTATTTATCCTCCATATCCTTGAATTATTTACTTCTTAATTCCTTTTCTTACACTTTTACAACAGCCTGATTTATTAACCCTCTGCCTTGCGTGGCTCTTCCGGCTTGTAATGGGTGCAGCTTCGAACAAAAACTTCATTTCACTGCTCGTATGCAGAGCAAAGACAATAATTGACAAGTTTTTACGTCCCACATAATATTAGCTTCATTCTGTCAGATGTAACCATGTTTTCTCTTAATTTTTGCCAATTAAGTTTTCTCCAATGATGTTTCTAATCGATTATAGTTTATAGAGCTGCCAATCATGATGATATAATGCTTTTAGAGTTCCCTATATCGATCTGTTTATATTGACGATTTTCGTGAGAAGAAAAATCCATAGAACTCATTCCACATATACCAAGAGTATATTTTGAGTATCGATTGACGGTTTCATTTTTTTTTTAATTTCTTTTTGCAAATTAATCTGAGTTTTTTTTTTTCATTGAAATCCCGAATCAATAATTCCTATTTACACCAAACTGAGTTTTCCATCCCTTGCAAACACTTCGATTTTAATCTCAGTATATTTCAATGAGCGTTTTCTTTTCTTTTTTTTTTCATCCATCACACTTTTTACTCACAAAAAATGCTTGCTGCTAGTTTCTTTTAAGCTTTTCAAGAATTTCACTTTTTTTTTCTTAATTTTCTCTACAGTATATATACTTAACGATTACGTCCTCGGTGAAATTAGTTCATTCATTTTTCTTCTTCTTCTTCTTCTTCTTCTTCTTCTTCTTCTTCTTCTTCTTCTTCTTCTTCTTCTTCTATGTGCCGTATCCTTCAGAAACTTGGAGATCATGGCTCTCCGCGATTTCATGCCCTTTGTAGCTGTTAATACATTTTCTATTTTTGTAATCCTATTTAAATCCTGTTCTGCTATCCATTTCCTAAAGCTTGATAGCTTATGCGTTGATTTTCTCTGTTCCTATTGCATTCAATTTGTCCTGTGAGTCCGTCCTGAATATGACGATAAACTACACCCACATCCTGGGTAAGACGATAAACTACATCCAACAGCAAGGCCTCTGATCAGGAGGTTTTGAGGAGCATAGAACCACCTCTTAATTGCTGGTCTTCCCAGTTCCACCCTGACTCGGATTGGTAGCACCTTTTAGGATCCCAGCTATGGGTAAATAGTCAACACCCAAATTAGGGTCAAAACTATGAAAATGTAAAAATAGGTTTTAATACCAGAATACTTTGTAAAAATTATTACCAGAAATAAATTTTTGAAGAAAAATTATTACTAGCAATACATTATTAACAGCAATACAATTTTGAAAAAAGTATCAGCAATACATTTTTTGAAAAAAAAAATACCAGCAATAAAAGTTTCGTCGGCATTAAATAACCCTTTGAGGTTGATATGCCGTAAAACAAACCAAACGAAACCTGTGAGTATCAAATTTTCAAAGCTCCCTGTCCTCATTATTTGCCCTAGAAATTTCAAATGTCCCTTTCTGATGATAAGTATAACTCTTCTTTCTGTTTCCATTCTTTCTAAAACGTTGACGTTTGCTGACATTTTTTTTCTCAACATCCTT